TAAAGTCAAAGTGAGTATAAACTGTTCGCAGTTTTCAAAAGTGAAAATGCCTGCTAGCGGGGAAAAGTTAAATAAACATTGGACCTTCTAAAATGTAGGCAGCTGAGTACTCATTATCATTCCACAGGGGCAAGGGAATATCTTACAAACTGATTTGTGGTGGCAGCAACAATACAGTATATATCCATCAGCTACTAGGGGCAGAGATACAAGACTACAAGACAACAAGGCCATGAACTCTTGCAAACTTTAGCTCTTTTAGGATTGCAGGAGTACTTCTGGGACCTAACCCGTACTATCTGTCGGGTGTGAAAAACTTAGCAACAGTTTTGCTAAAAGTGAAATGTGATGTTGCCGTGCTCCCCCTGTCCCATAGAGAGCTGTATTTCCTCCACAGAGGAGATGATTGATGAGGAGAAGTCAATTTTGTCAGTGCTGCTAATGATGGTTATTGATTACCTTTTATTAAGTAGCATTTGTATTGTGTTACCAGATTGTAAAGTTTTGCTCATGAAGTGTCCGTTTTTCTTCATGGTAAGTGGGACCAAAGTGTGATTGGACTATTTTCCCTTGTTTTATATTTTTTTATTTTATCATTTATGAACTCTGGCTAATATGCAGAAGGTGTTTTGTATATTTATAAAAGCAAGTAAAGATGCAAACAGATGAACAACCACAAAAAAAGACGCATTGTGATCATTATTCATATCCGTTTCTTTTTTGTTTTTTCATTATGCTGGTGACATTTTTAGGATTTTAGGTAGGCTTATTCATGGCTTATTCTTAAAGATGTTTATGTGGCATAATGCCTTTTGTATGTTAAACTACACTGGAGCCACTGCACAGAAGATATTATCATCAACACCACAGCAGGACTGCAACCGCTGACAGATGCCGATTATGATGATCCTGCTGTGTCTCTCCCTCTGTTTCTCCCTTTCTTATTTTTATCTACACAGGTACTGCAGAAATGACTCAGTTCAAAGGTGAGCTTATATTTCATTCTAGGCGAAAACAATGTGACACTTTTTCTTGGCAAGGGGTTTCATAATAGCACCAATTTTCTGTCCAAAATTCAACTTGGAATCAAACTATAAATGTGTTCTGTTTTTTTACAGATGGACCTGCACACAGCGCACGTGGGAACATTAAGCTCACTGTTATTTAACCAAAGTTTAATAAAGGTTTTGTGGCATCAGTATGCACTTTATCACTATTCTGTTTGCTTGATACTTAAATCACGTCTTTCTTTGTTTTGCCCCTGGTACAGAATATCTCCACAATCTCCAGCTCAGCCACCAGAGAAATCCTCTTGGAGTTCTCTTTCTCTCTGGTGCCCACAACAGTCATGTTGCATTTATGCAACCATTTCCTTGATACCTAAGTAAGTCATTAGTTGCTTCATTGCCAGCAAACATCATGCTTTTATTACATATACTCCTTGGCTTTCCTCTGAAATGGCTCTTGTGTCCATTAAATCTCATGCCACTGTGCTTATCCGTAATCTTGTTGCCACATATCCTTCTGTATCTGTTCAGTTTTTTCCTGTCCCTCTAATTCTTACTTCAGTATTAAATCTTTGCTTGCTTTGCACCCATGTGTTTATCATTCTTGTGTCTCTCGCCTTTTAAACTACTTGCAAACTACAAAACATATTTATCAAAATAAGATGGGTGATGGGACAGGCCCTAGATTTTAGGAGTTCCACAGTTAAAGAAACATATGTACTGTAAGTTATATATAAAATGTTTAATCTAAACCAAGACATTTCCTAAATACAAACACAACTACTAATAAAACAATTCAGATCCACAGAGATGTGATATTAATTAATACATGAATGAAGTTGGTTCCATAAAAATGTGATATAATATAGCTTTAGTTGGGGCTATGCTGAACCTCTCTTTATTTACATATCCAAAACTCTGAGAGACATTAGGAAAAATCAGACTACATCAGCTGAATTGTGTCTTGTTATTCAGTGCTGAATATCTGTAGGACAGATTGCTTTGACGAAGGTGATATCACACGGTTATTGGGCAGATCCCTCTTACTAACTTATGGAAGAACTTCAGATCAGATAATCTTTTTATTTTGATGCAAATCATTGACTAAAATGTAATTACATGTATGAATTAATTTATACTTAAAAACTTAACAAACAGCTAAGCAAAGCTGGGCCTGGTCAGGAAGGGGATGGGAAACCAGGTTGCCACTGTACAGTAAGTGGTGTTGGTGGACCAGTAGGAGGCGCTCTTCTGTCCAGAGCAGAATTTCCAAACCAAGTGAAAAGAGTGAAAAGGGACACCATGTTGTAGGAGACCTACATTAAACACGTACATTAAAGACCCTAAAGCACTCTTATAGTAGTAGGACCGTGAGCTCCAGTGTCCTTGTGAAAGAATGTGGCAAGCAGTGCACCCTCTGAGATGAAAGGTGTCATTCACATGTGAGGAATATTATCATGATCTATTAATTAAAATGAATTATTTCCTACTAATTAAATACAATTATTTTCTAATGGACCTCTTTCCTTTTAGAGGAAGAATATTTAACATAACAGATCTGGTCATTTCCCACACCTAGTTAAAAGTCTGCCACTAAAAAACAATAGCACTATGAGAACAGCAGTAACCTAAATGAAACATTTGAGATTTTGTTGATAATATTATTGCCTTTGGACACAGTTCTTTCTTTCTGCTGTATGTGCCATCTGTCCTCCCACTGCAACACTAATTATAACAATTACACCTTCATTTTTTCATCTTCATTTGCTTCTGTGAACTTGCTCATTTATTGTAGATTTTGGGTTAAAAAATAGAATCAAGAAGAATGTGGAGTTCCCTTTTAACATAAGATTCAACAGAATTTTTCCAAGGAAAGCAACCCACATTTCCCCATAAGCACTTTTCCCTTTCTGTCCCTTTCATCTTATGTAATTTTGGTGTGATTGTTGTGCTCCTTTCTATCAATGTGAGCATGTTTCTTTAACTTGTAATCACTTCTCTTTTTCTATTTCTCAGCTGTAAGTCTGGTGTTTTTTAAAAAATGTACTGGATGTTTTACATTTAAAAATAATATACAGTATGTGTATCATTTGGAAAATAAATAAAAAAAGTTATTTTTATATGAACCTACAATAATTAGCATCTCTAAGTAAAGAGAACACCAACATACCATTCTTCATATGTATTTAGAAAGTCTATAGAATAGTACAGTGACATTAATGAGAGAAGAAAAACATACTTTTCTTCTTGCTTGTATAAGTAACCTGATTTCAGCATTACTCCACCTCCACAGACACACAATGCATTAAGGGACACATGAGCTGTTTTTACTCACCAAGAATTAGCCTGAGTTGATGTAACTTAAAGGAAATAAATATGCAATCACTTTGTACTTCCCTTTTCCCTTTGGTGTCTTCTGGATGCTTGCCTGCAGGTTAATGGATGGTGGCCTGCCCCTCTCCACCAACCCTAATTTTCAGCATCGATTGTAAATCTACACTCTGCTGGAAGATGGAAATGACAACACCAAGAAAACTGCTGAGGATTGAAAACAGGGAATCTTAGATCCTGCAAGTGTAATTGTTCAATTTATTAAACCCTCTTCTGTTCCCAGAAAAGTAGATTTCAACATTATCTATTTCCACTAAATGTTTCTAATAAGACTTATCAACCAAACTTTCATTCAACTCTAAGGCCACTTTTCTACATGCATTCAAATCACATCTTACATCCAGTCCTTTTTTTAAAACTGCACGTAACATGCTAGGAAAGATCCTGAGTGTCCAATTTTAATTCTTAATCGTCCCTCAAAATGTTGGCCTGCAGGTGGAATTAACAAGATCTATTGCTGATACTGATTTCATTTTGAATTTCACTGCATGCAGCAGTGAAACTACAGCATGTTGTATGCTATTAAAAAAGCATGTAAACTGTTAAAAATGTATGTCCTACAGGTCATGCCATTTAATGGCATGTATTTAATGACATTCACTTATTGTTCACCATGGTGAAGTGAAGTCTAAGCTTCCTGATCTACAGGATCTCTATCATAAACACAATGTGTCTCCTATGTAATGGGAAAAAGTGAAACGATGAAGAATTGAGAAGAACAGACTCTAAGTGAAATCACATTAAAACTGACAGCCCTAGCAAGTATTGTACAGGTCAAAGCAAGAAGCTGCAGTTGGAGAGGAGGGAATTATTTCGTGCTTAAAAGTACATCCATGCAGAAACTATAGGGAATTCTAATTCTAGGCTTTACTGAACACAGTGCTAAGGGGACTAAAGAAATACTGCACCTCGTTATGCCTTCAGAAAATGTAGAGGGGCGCATTTTAATACTTTAATCCAAAATATTTTATTTCCTTACTGTACATAATGTACTAATTTTCCCATTGCATCTTTATAATTCACTGTCTTTTGGTGTTTTCTGGCCCTTTAATCTCAGCCATACCTTTTCTAAGGCAAATTATGTTCAGTCTTGCATTTCAGGGGAAACGACCTAGATTACAAAGAGCCTCTGGTCTCTACAGTGGCTACAGTAAGTCAGTGTAAAGCTCAGGCGAAAACAGCCTCCACTATTATCTGGAGCACAGGGAAACAAGCACAGGGGGACTGTCGCTCCACAGAGGACTCTGTCATGCTCAAAGTAAAGATATAATACACAAACCATTTTTTTTTTACATAAGCCACATCTGAACATAACTATGGGATACACTAGCAGATCTCAACAGGAATAAAAAAACATAGCAGCATGCTGGTGTGTAATGTTTAATTTGAGCTCTCCCTATGTAGTTATTTCTTTTTAAGGGTGTTACATTCACACTGAGGGTCCAAGTGAGGATGAGAGGCTCAGACTGAGGGAAAGTGTGCTGACAAAACAGCGCCATCTCTGTTTTTAGCTAAGGGAATGTCATGAAGTGTAAGTGCTAGATTTAAAAAAAATACTAAAATACTGTTTGAAAGAGGATTGCTTTTTAGGTTTCAGCAATGAGTAGCCACGTCTGTCTTTGCTTGAAATGTAGTTCTGCGCTGTGCCTTGGTGTCCGCAGTGCCAGCAGAAGGCTGCCTGCAGGACTGACCTCCAGTTTGGTGGCTGTTAACCTAAGAGAGGAGCAAAAGTACGACTGTGTCACTAATAAAGATGAAACCAAACACGAAAAAATAGGGACTCAATCCCTCAACCATTTTTCAGCACAACCCCAATTATTTCTGCAAAATACTGTATATAATGTTTCTGTTATTTAAATTAATGATATCACAAAGCTCTTAAATGCTCTACATCCAATAAATTTCATAAATGTATATACATGAGAGTTCATTACTGTACAGTGAATATAATTTCAGTTTAGAGTCCCATAATTTGGGTAGGCGTTCTATAAAGTCTGTCTTGAGTATCTAATTGATTCAGCTGCTTAATCCCCTTTGGACTATCACAGGGAAGAGTGCAGTGATTTAAGCTTTCCCTATGAGAGTGCATAGTAAAGAGGTCATATAAATAGAATCTGGAACACTGCTCAGTGTTGACTCAATGGATTTTGCTAAAATCTACAAGACAGAGCTTTTCCACAGAATTATATTTGAACAGCTGATCCAAATGTCCATCTTTATAGACACTGGGACTCTGCACAGAAAGAGGTCTTTGTAGCGAACACATTCTAAGACAACATTTGTTTTATTTCCATTTTGCCCATGAATAAAAGTTCATTTAAAGCAGTAAAATTTTCTGTTGTATTACGTAAAAATGAAGACTTTGGCTTACAGGCAAGGGAAAGGCCGGGGAGAGGGGCTTCTGATTATACAGATCCACCCTGAGCCTACATATGATGGAAATTTAAAACAATAAAATCACCAATAACTTGAAAACAGAATCACAGGTATGATGATCCTCCAATCCATCCATTATCTGCCTCTTACAGTTTGTATCCTGCGATAGGAGACAGCAGTGGGAATATACTGTAGGAAGTCATGAAGCCAGCCAGGGGATCCACTTGCTTGGATATTTAACTCCCTTCTTCTCAGAACAAGGCCTTCTTATATGGCCACCTGTATAATATCCTATTATTTTTACTAGAGACCTTTTTACTAATTTTTTAAATGTAATCTTATAATCTGTAATAATGTAGTCTTCCTCCTGGTTTCACTAAGTCATATTTTGCCACTGTTTTCTTTCACTTTTGGTTGGGTGTTGTGTGTGCTACTGTGTAACTCTGAGTTTCATGAAAAGTGCAGGCAAAAAAAATGTAATGGTTATTAAAATCATTTTTCATATAGCAAATGAAATCTTCAGTTTCAGCTTGCTGATAACTCTAATGTGTTTCTGTCGAGGTAAAACAAAAGTATTTTACATATACATAAATCTTGTGGAAAAACACAAAAAGATGGGAGAAGCATGGTTTGGTTTCTTATCTGTTAATATGGCCTTGTAATAATCTGAGAAGGGTCGATGTTTTATGAATTTAAAGCCCACATTCTGGCAAAAAAGTCTCCATTACCATCTAATATTGTCAGTGTCGCAGACTTTTTTACATTTTAACATGAATGTCATGTAACAGAAACCCATTGTGCATCAGTGCAAAAAGAGATTGGGCAATCCATGAAATAATCACATTTTCAGTCTCTACTACGCAAACAGAAGGACCTAATTTAAAAGCTTCTACAATAACTCCCCGAAAACTGGATTTTGATCAAAAGGAAAAATTAAAAGCTCCCTAAAAGCTTATTAGATAATACTATAAACAACTTGAACAGAATGATTCCAGGAAAACCATAAATTGGTATGAATTTACACTAATTTGTTTGGACCGTACAGTTCCTTAATAAAGGCATATTCATCTTCCTTAATTTAATTATTAATCTCAGCTTTGCATTCTTGCTTTATAAATTAGAACATACATCTGATTCAAGCTGTATGTGTTCTTTGAACTGACACAAACATCACCATTAATTTACCCACCTCTGGATCTCCTCTAAATTCTGTCAACAGCCAGGCTGACCTCAATGCTTCATTAACCATCTTGGACATTCGGATTGTCTGTTGCTCTTTCAGGCTTGGGCCTGTGTGTTCTGTTCTCAGAGAGGAAGCCACATCCCGCAGATTTCTCGCTGTCAGACGCAGAGCAGTCAGGAGGCCACAGTGTTTATTTGCTACTGTTTGTCTTCTCTGCAGCGTTTTGTCACAGAACCATATTTCATCTGAACCTTGATATTACACCGTTTTCCCCCCAGAGAATTCATGTGTCTCTGTCGTAGCGAGAAATATGTGTCACACAAATCCAAGGCTGTTCTGTTCCCATGATGATGATGATGATGATGATGATGATTATTATTATCATCCATCTCCATAGGGATGAATACATATTTATTTATAGGCCAAGAACATTGCTTTGATTGCCTTCAGAAATTAATCAGTTAGTGATAAACATTCTCACTGATAACGGTGACAAATATATTTAAATGTCTTCTTGTTTGCTTGCTGAAACAGGCCTAAACATTTGTGCTTCTGCCTGCGTCTGTAAACAATGTACACAAAATTGAAAAGGAGATATGTAATCTTGCACAAAAAATGAAGTGCAATATATAGAATATAAAAGGGTATGCTTTTAAACTAAACTGCATCAAGCACTAAAGTCAGAACTGGAGAGTTTCATTCCAGCTTTTCAGATTTGCTTCCAATTAAACAAACATACAAAAAATGACAAACAATATTTTTAAACGGTTTTATTTTAAAGCTAGGTGAAAATTGGCTGCAAGGTGGGAGAACCCATTTTTTTGAAGGTTATCTATTATAAATAGGTAATTCCCAGTATCAAATATATTCAATGCAAAAAGTATTTAGGTTCAGAATTTTTGAACTCAGGATGAAAATGAATTTCAGCATAATCATCCTTTTAGTGATGAGCTACTGAAAAAAGCAGTGATTGATTATTGATGAACATTCTAATTCACAATCACTGGTTTCTGAAGATAAAAAAGACAGCTTTGCTTATTAATGACATAGCAGTTAAGTCTAAATGAATATTTTAAGTTAACTGAAACATCAAAACCTATTTTTTTCTTGTTGTATTGCTGCTAGAAAATGCTGAGAAATCACAGCAGATCTCTCTGTTGCTGGATACCAGAACTTGTACTTACAGTATACTGGGGATGACACCCTTGAAATTCAGAGCCTGCTTCATTCACATACTTACTAATTATTCATAGATTTACTCCACGCTCTGTGGGAATTCATGCAGAAAACCAGAAAACATTTGAAAAATACACGTATTACAGAACATCATTAATATAGTCTGCATAAAAACAAATTTAGTTATTCAATGGTTTTGACAGATTTGTACAGTACTTGCTGTTAAATTTACTTCATCCTAGGTTAGAAGAACCTTGAAAAAAATAATCCACCCCCGCCAGAGAGTATTCTTGATGAAAGAGTTTTAATGTCCACTGATATCCAATAATGAGCTTTAAATAATGAAATAGATTGTTTTTAAACTTAAACTTGCATGGCAGAGTATAATTATTTAAATACAATGGGCATGAGTATTCAACCTTCAAAATATTAAAGAAGATGTGCAAATAAAGGAAAGATAACACAAATATAAAACCCTAAATTGTTTAGAGATATTTGTTCTTGGCTTTTATTAGAATGACTGTGCTTACCTGACTAGTCTTCTAAATCAGCCTTTAGTACATTTAGATCATGTGCCTAAATAAACCATATCTGAAGTGAAATGAATAGATTCTAAAAGTCACGTGAATCTCTAAATAGCAGAAATCAAGTGAAAATCTAACATTACATAAAGCCTGTATGAGACCAAAATGAAATGGTGCTGATGTTTTTAAGTATTTATTGTCCAAGCAGTATTAAATGGTTCAATTATTTAACAATAAGGACCAAAGGAATTAATGTTTCAGACGTTGCTCATTAAGTTTTATGTTTTCTTGCAGCTGCTTTTCAGTTGGTGGTTAATGTTCTTATTTTTACTTTTACTGTGCCTCTTTCTTACCGACTCTGAAATGATCCATCTTGAAAGCCATCTACCAGTCAATAGACTTGACAGCAATTTCATAATGCTGCAAAAGGTCAACCTATTATCTACCAATTTAAGTAGCAATCCCTTTAAAAAAATACATTTAGAGGAGAAAAAATCCATTTCATATGCAGAGATTTTTACATTACTGACCAAATGGAGTGCTTTGAAATTCATGTTTGATAACTGAAACAGGACTGTTTTAGCTCTTATCCTTATTCAGGCAATACAGTTTATCCAGGGTTTTTGTGCCTTGGTATAGTTGCTTTTAAGTCTTGGATCTGGTTCCAGATCCCATTCATTTTTCAACAAAGCAATGATTGGCCATAGAGGTCCCAAACTCCTGCTCCTGAAGTCCACTTACAGTACCTGTAGGCTTTGAGTGACTCTGTAAAGCCTTACCTGATTCCCACTCAGGGAAAAGTCTCAATGTTCAGTCAAACAAATGGGTTCACTGAGGAAACTAAGAGTCCTGTTGGCTTTCCATGGCCGAATACCTGAGGAATTCTTTCAGTTACAGTGGGAGCAAGGGTAGGCCTACATAAACACTTTAAAAAGTCTCTCATCTAACGTGAAAGGGACACCTGTGTAGTATTAAGCAAAACCTAACATGATTTCCTTCCTTCCTTTTCAGTTTTATAAATGTGTTTTACTCATTCAAAATAGTATTTCTCCTTAATTAATGCTGATGGGTTCAAATCATGACCAACAAAGCAAACCTTTTGTATTGTGCTACCTTGCCAGCAGGATTAAAATTAGATATGCTTCTACCTGTATAGATGACAGGGCAAAGACACCCTGGACCCCCTTCTCTGTCTTCAGTCTCTGCTGGTTGAAGTGTCCTTACCTCAGACGAAAACATGGATTGTAATCATACATGCTGCTACTAAGCTCCAAAGATATCTAATGGAAATTCTATGCATTACACTATAAATATCATTTACCAAGACACTCTGTTTATAAAAGACTATTAACCCAACAGAGAAATCCCAGTAATTCATAGTTTTTATGAAAAGATCAGTCTAAATAAGAAGTGGGTCAGAGCTTAACCACTGTCCTGAATCCAGCTTTTGTGATTTATCTTGACGTCTCAGTACTTCACCTAACTCCTCCCATGACGTTGGTATTGTTAGGGGGCTTCTAAAAGAATCTGTTGGCTGAAAGAGAGAAAAAAATGTGGTTTAATTATGGCACATTGACATATTTAGGTTAGAAGCAAAGAAACATTGGTTATCTTCACCCAAGATTTAAGCAGAACTGTGACCATGAAACATTATTTCCTAATTTGTTTTTTTCTTACTGTTAAAGAAATATAGGAGACTCTAGAATGAACTGGTAGCACTGTAGAAGAGGTTTCTATAATTCCCTGGGTCTGAGACTGTTAAAGCCAAAATGACCAAGCAGGGAAATGAATATATTTGAATGCATTTTTTCCACAGTAATGATTTTCCACATGAGAATACCGTCTTTAATTAACATCTTGGACATCTATGTCATTCATTGTTCCAGTGTAATAAGCCTGAAATTCAAAAAAGGTTTAAACAAAAGGGGTTATAGAAATATCAATTTATTCAGCAGTCTTTTATCCAAAGCAACTTATTATTGTCTCCATTGAAGCAGCCTGGTGTTTTGCTAAAGCAACTTCAGATGGTAGTAGTAGTTCAAGTAGGGAGCTGCGTCAGCATGCATAGGCTGCAAAGGAGCAATGAAAGGTTTATTCCATGCTGAAAAGAGAAGAAAGAAAACACAATGTTTCGGCTGTGGAGCCTTGTTCAGCTGTAAGGATGTTACACCTGAAGAAGGCTCCACAGCCAAAATGTTGTTTTTTCTTTCTTCTCTTTTCAGCATGGAATAAACCTACTGTATCACTTGTTCCTTTGCGGTAGGTTGTGAAATAAAGTACCCGGCTCAACGGTTCAGCAGCAGTGTCTCACTCAGGATTTAAATTCATGACCTTGGGACGCTGACCACTCCTCATTGTTGCTTGTGCCTGAATTTCATAAGGTCATTGTTGAGTCAGTTACAACTGGGCAAGTAATGCAGGTACTGTATATGAATAACTGGATGCTTTTAAATACAATTAAAGATAAATATTACTGAGGGAAAAACAGTAACTTGGACCCAGTTCAAACTACATTTAACTTGTTATGCCATTAAATAAAGGCTTGTAAAAATAATACTTGTTAATGAAACATGACACTATTACATGGCAAAAAAGCATTGAAATCCAAACACCTGAGGAGCTGAAGTCTGAAGCACACATGGGAACGATTTGGCTGTGTTTTCGATTTGGATGTCCTATAAATGCACAGAGAAGGTATGATTCTACAATATTTGATTATACAAATGATTAAAAGCACCTTCAGTAATACTATACAATGTACAGTATGTATTAAGACCTACATACAGTACAAGGTGTATATTTTCAAGTTGCCCTGGTCAAAGGATGACAGAATTGGTTTTACCCACGTTTTATACAGTACATTTAAGCACAGAATGGAAGTGAGAGATGCAAATCAACTTTAGTAAATGTGAGCACCTAAAAGGAGGCTTTCAGCGCGACAGCAGTCTGTGTTAGATGAGGTCGGTTACAGAGGTTTTGCAGCAGACAGACCATTCTTAGTAGGCTAAATACCCGAGGGAGGGTGGGAACAGTGAAAGCAGGAAGCCATTAGAAATCTGTTGGAAGCAGCAGCTGGAAAGACATCAGACTGGCTGTGAAAGCTGCATTACCGTCTGGGAGCGCAGCCAGACAAGAAGTACCTCCTAATGAACACTGGTACCAAGGATGTCTCAGAACCCCGACTCAATTGATCCTGCACACATTTTAACTTGCAACAGATTCAAAGTATTGTGACCATCTAAACTGACTACTGGTGAAGCAAATTGTCTCAATAAATGGCTCTTGTCTTGAAGAAAGTATATGAAAGCCAGAGGTGTGTCTGTACCAGTAAGGGCTTTGCTACTCCTAAAATGATTGGCAGATAATACAGGAGAACACAAACAACGCTATAGATGCACATTTTCAAACACACAAGCTTCAGAATATTATTTTCATCGACAAAGGCAGCAGAAGTATTTCAAACCATATGACAAGATTCCATTGTAAACAAAGTTTTCTGTGCCGTGATGTTTTGTGAACTTGGTCTACGTCTTCTAGACATAAAAATGAACCAAGGAAGGTATATTTATCTCCTGTTCAATCCTCTGCAATCACAA